GAATTCTTTCGGATACCGTTGGGCAGCAACCAGGATTTGTGGGCAGCAATTCCGTCTTCCCAAAACAGCAATTATGGGTCTTCCAGGGCTGAGGGAGCAAGGCAATCGGCTGAATTTCAGGCTGCAGTCTTAGGAAGAAGAGGGCTCCACGTTGGATTGAGTTTGGAGAAGAGTTAGTGGAAGAAAATTAGGGAGAGGGGCTTTGGAAATTTCGGCAAGCAGCAGGGAATGAGTTAAACTCTTTCCTAGAAGTCATAGCCCATCAATTGAACCCCATTAAGGTGTGGCCGGCGGTTTCAATGGAGAGGGAGGGGGAATAAATGCTAATCCTGATTTTAAATTCAGAATTTGAGAGGTTTTGGGGGAAATCAATTTGAAATTTGATTTCAAATTAAGTTGTAATCAATGCATTAATTGGGAATTGAATGGGGCTCCAACCAAGGTGAGGCCGGCGGCATGTGGAGAGAGGGGAAGAGTGTGGGAGCCATTGAGGGGTTTCCAAATCAGCACATGGGAGTTAGGAAGGCTTATGATGAAGTCCATTTGAATTTGAATTTCGTCATAATGCGGATTTAAGAACTTTCCTAATTATGAATTTTCAAAATTGGAAAGTTTTGAAATCCAAAATTTGAATTTCAAATTGAATCCAATTTTCCCTCTCAAGCCCAACTAAATTTGGAAAGTAGCATGATGATTGGGATCATCATAACAACAAAAAGAATGGAGCTTGGTGGAGGCGGTGGCATGATGAAGGGGATGGATGGGTGGATTGCTTGCCATCGGGTTTTGAAGATTTAGGTGGAGGTGGGATGTGAAGTGGGGAAGCTAGTGAATGAAAAGGATCTGGGAATACGGAGACGGAAATGTGGCCGGTGGCTTGGGGAATGAACTAAGGTCGGCGGGTGAGGTAAGAAAAGGTGAAGATCGGATGGGGGAAAAATGGAGAGAAGAAGAAAAGATATGGGTAGAAAACCAAGAGCTCCACCAAGGGGTTGTTGGGTATTGCTTTGAGCCTCTCCTAGGCTTTCCTCACTTGAGAACTCACAAAGAGAACTCTAGAACTTACAAAGAGATCCAAAACCAAAATTTTCATTAACAATAATCATCATCCCTCTCCAAGAGGAGGGAAAATGCTTAAATAGTCAAATACATGAAGGAAAATAAAAAGACATAATTGCCCCTAGGCAAACATAAGACAAAAGCCCTCAAGTGAGGGTAGAAAGGGAAAAGTACAATAACAAATCAAATACATAAAAAATTTAAAAATAAAAAGACGCGATTGTAGCCGTTGATCTTCAATGTCCTCATCATAAAGACATAGTATTTGACCTTTAAAAATGAGTAAAATCCAATACCTAGCCAAAATAACAGGAGCTATGCTTATAAATAATACATTGTTATAGATTCTATCAATACATGTGGTCAACTGAATCAAAACTGTAAATACTTAGGCTACAAAAATAACAATTTATCAATTCAAACTACCTTTTATAATTATGAATTTGACTCTGATATCAACTTTATATGATTAAAGGAAATTCTAGGCATGAAAATTGTGCAACTTTCACAATCAATTATGAGTATGCAAAATTTCCCATGTTTAAATATAAATTGCAGTTCTTTTTCATTCAACCTTAGTAGTTATAATATAGCACTCGGCATTCATATAATTTTAGCTAATGCATCCTCCAAATCATTAGTTTTTTTTGCCAAACTCATGAACATCATCAAAATTATTAATTTCATTATATATCGTCTTCATACTTATATGCAAGTTCCTATTAGGACACTCATTAGCATAATTAATTTTGTGATTTACTTTCTCATAAGAAAACGTGGAAAAAATAAGAGGGATTGTAGCGCAAGAACCATCAGTGGGAATAGATGTTCTCGAGGCATATTGAGCTATAATTGAATAGCCAAGTTGGCCCAACATCACTTTGAATGACAATTGGTGGTACGATCCATTGATAGCAGGAAGGAAAGAGTTTCCTCTCACGATTACATCTTTTATCAATGCAGCTTTCATGATCACTAGAACCATATTGATGCCTATTAGCAAGGGTAGTCTAATTAAAAAATGGTGTGGAGGGAGACGATATTTCAGTGATTCAAAAAACCCATAAGAGAGTTGCAAGCTTGGGAACTGTTTAATTTGCTATGAATTGAAATTTCATATGTTGAAGGGATGGATGAAGGTCATAGAGAAGTTTAGAAGCCAAGAACTCTTATTTTATTATTGGCAAACCTTTAGATCAATGGTAAATGGATTGCAGTGAAGTAACTCGTCCTATATACCCTAGAAGTTATTCTAATGATCCAAAATATATAGATTTTTTTGCTAAAGAGAAAATATGTTAGAGTACAAAATATATAGACCCTACAAATGATACTTTTTTTTTAAAATAAGTGGAGTTGAGAAAATTTCACATAGCCTCAATAGTTTATGAAACATGATTGTAAAGGCAATATAAGGTTGGAGACTATTTAAAAACCAAGAGAGAGCAGCATAATTTGGAGAATTTAATGTTATCATCATGAGCCAGAGTAATATGATTTTTCGTTGGAACCACTAAGAAATCAAATACCCTCAACCACAAGAGGTGGGTGGTTCCATCGAATATATTTTTTGTAGGGGTGTCGATAGTAGAGTACGGTTTCACATCATGTAAGGAGATAAGCTCAGTTGTAATACCAAGTAAGATGGAGACTAAGTTAAATGAAAGATGTCAAATTATCATATGCATAATGTGGAAGAGTAGAGAAGGTACGAAGGTTAGTGAATGGTGAGTGAAGCTATTGTATAAGGCACAATGGTTAACCATAATGACAGGGTTGTGCAACAAGTGTAGGTGAGCTGTGAGCAATATGCATGCATGCAGGTAGGGGTGTCAATATTTGACACGACCCGAAAACCCGACTCGAACTCAACCTAAAAATTTCGGGTTAGGGTCAACCCTGACCTGAAACGGGTCAGATTCTGGTTCAACAAATCGCCCCGTTTAAAAAACCGGGTCCGGTTCAGGTTGAACCAAAAACCCGAAATTGACCTGAAAATCCATTTTTGACCCAGAAACCCGAGATTGACCCTGTTTTGACCCGAAAATTAGCAATTTTTGGTTGGCCCCGTGTCATTCGGGTCGTGTCTGGTTGACTCGGACCCGAAGTGGGTCGGGTTCGGGTTCGAAAAACCGACCTGTTTGCAAAAATGGGGCGGGTTCTGGTTGACCCCGAATAGTCCCGGATCAGTTCCGGATTCGACCTGAATCCGACCCGTGATCCGAAATTGATACCCTTGCATGCAGGTGAAGCTAGGGTAGAAACAGCGGGTAGTGACAAAACCAGTAGTTGGCATGAAGTTAGCTAGCAACTGGCAAGCAATCATTGGAGGGCAGGAAGCAAGTGAGCAGCAGGGTGGGGGCTTGGTTTTCCCTACTATGATATCATACTGAGATGAAAACATTACTCCATGCTATTGATTAGATATTTGAGGCCTATGAATGGGCATACATTAGGATACGATAAGAAAACAAATATAAGGGAATAGCTCACTAATTATGATCATATTACCGTGTGCTTTATTCAGTTCACCATGACCAATTATCATTTTTATAAAGCTAATAAATATATCTTGCTGATGAGATTGATTTTATCTTATTCGTGGATTGCAG